ACTGTGAAGAATGCAAATTCTGAACTGGGTGGATCTGTATGTCATGTAAACAACCAGATATTCTTCTATTCTTCATCAAACTCTTGCTTCTGAAAAAAGACCAACCATAAGATTAATAGTTATATGTGGAATATTATTAAGAATATTTATTTTTAAATACTGTAAAGAAAATGGAAAGGTATGTTTGCAATCCATGAGAAATTTTTATCAAGGACTAGATTAAATTTCACTAACTAAGAATTTTACTTTTTACAAGCATTGCTCTAAGCATGTGTTTAATTAAACAGAATAAATACTTCTTGAGTATTACTTACAGGCTCTGGATACTGTGATGAAACATGGCAAACATGATTTGGGGGTTCACTGTGCTTAAAATTCAGAGCAAAAGAGGGCAATTAGGCAAATAATTACAATAAAGTGATGAGTGTTGTGGTAGAACTTGACCTGGCCAAGTAGTCAAGAGAGTTTCCTACCGCAGTGACCCCGAAGGATGAGTACAAGTTAGCCGAATAGAGGGCAGGCTTGGGAAGCAGAGAATAGTGTCTCAGACACAAGCAAGGGATGGGACTGGGAGGTGTAGAGGGGCCAGCTTGAAAATGACCTTGTGTGCTAAATAAGGAAGCCTGGATTTCTTGCTGAGCAAATAATCTAGGAAAGAGTTTTAAACAATGAAGTGATCTAGTTAAATACCTCATTAAAGTATTTGCTACACTGTATGCAAAGCATAATACACGTGACATTTAGCAGTAGCACACATGGAGGAAATTACTCTATTTACTGCGTCTTTTCCCTCAGCCTATTAAATGTTCAAATCTTTGCCTTGAGTGGCTGTTCAGCTGCTACTCTTTCTTTCTGTAATAACTGCTTCTTGAACAAGAAGGCTACTGGAAAAAGCAACCTACTTCCTTACTACTATTCATCTATCAACTTTCTAAACTCTAACTCCAAGTCTTTATGTCAATAAAACTACTCAAGCAGTGACCTAGATCTAAATTTAGTGCATCTTTTGAAGTTTTTTCCAAAACAGAGCTCTCTACTGCTGTTGGCCACTCAAAGAAAAATACTATTTGTTGAAGATGGTTAAGCAAAAGCATTCTATGTAGTATCAGTAGTAGCCTAAATGTTTCAAATATAAAATTTCCCCCCATGAATTCCTGTAAGAAAAACACAGAAATATTACTGATAAAAAGGGGAAAAATATCAGTTTTCAAATATTACGGTTTTTCTACAGGGGTACGAGAAAGGGAATATTATTATAGTAAGCCTAACTAGGAAAACTTATTATTTCAACACTATCATAGTTAAACAATTTTTAAACCCAAATAAAGAAAATGCTTGTCACATTCCTTTCAAAGAGTTTTTACTCAACCTCGGGAAAATTTACTTTTAACTGTCAACAACACATATCAAAATTTATAGGCATCCAAACCAGTCTGTTTTATTGCAGAATAACTGTGGCATATCATTGCCCACTAGAAGTTCTATAATTAAGAATCTGTCAGTGTTTCCATTACCTGCAGGCATTCTCAGAGTTTGCAATTCCGTCATAAACATTCTTACAAGGCTGAGACTTCATACACAAGGTCTCCGACTAAGAGCAATTCATTTTTTAGAAAATATGATACTTTTAAATTACAGAAGTTCCCCCAAATATCTCTACCAAATGAAAACACCCAATTTCAAAATCTTAGAAAATACTAAGAGATGTTTTGATTTTTGATAACATTTTAAACTTCTGTTGTTTCCTTTATTAGTAACCTAAAAATAAGCAGGAAATAAGATGCAAATTATCATTTAATAGGCAAAGATCTTAGTGTTCATTAATCATTAATGCTTATATTGTGATCTAAACTCTAAGTACACAAGGTTTACTGTTTATAATTAAAATAATAAGAAACCAGTAATCCTAAAATCCAAAAGAATTCATAAACCATTCCCTAATGAGCTTAATAGTCTGGTTTAAATTTGGGGGAGATTTATGTTACTCTACATTGGTTTACATACCCTAAGCTCTATGTACCCTAAGCTCTACCCATCTTCAGCTTTTTTCAGTACCAGCACCAAACTCTTTTCCTGAGTCCTCAAGACAAATCACCTGAAGATACCATTATCTGTTTATTCTATCAGACCAGAAGCGATACCTTCTCTGTACTCTAAGATTTAATCTTATTCATTACATATTAAGCATGTAACAATAATCAGAGCTGTCATTTATTCAGTAGGAACTTTATATATACTACCTCTAAGCCCTATAACAACTCTGCAACATCATCATCAGTCCCATGTTGTAGATCACTGTGTTCACAGTAGAGCAGCAGGAGCAGTAGCTAGGCCATATAATTTTAACAATAAATCCCTGTAGACTAGGTATATATATCTGTCTCCATTTTATAGATGAGAAAACAGAAGCCTAGAGACAGATGTAAGGTCACTTGCCCATGACCATACTGAGCAAACTCAGGACAATAGAGGCTTTGACCTTTTCAATATAATACAGTGTAAAGGATACAGATATGTTTCCTACACTCTAGGAGTTCATTTTTGTTGTTGTTGTTGTTTTTTTTTAAAGAGATAGTATCTCACTTTGTCCTCCTCGGTAGAGTGTGTGGCGTCACAGCTCACAGCAACCTCCAGCTTTTGAGCTTAGACAATTCTCTTGCCTCAGCCTCCTGAGTAGCTGGGACTATAGGCGCCTGCCACAATACCCGGCTATTTTTTGTTGCACTTTGGCTGGGGTCGGGTTCAAACCCACCACCCTCAGTATATGGGTCTGGTGCCCTACTCACTGAGCCACAGCACTGCCCTCATTTCTGTTTAAATAATACATTTTGCATTTCATTCAGGATAATGGTTGCTGTGTCTTAGTAATTTCCTCTTATAGCTTAGCAGTTAGCACAAAGTAAATAAAGCAGAAGTCATAGAGAAAATGTCACTATAAATTATTCTACCCATCTCTTCAAAGAAAATTATAAATGAGTTTAAAGGCTCAGTGCCCATAGCACAGTGGTTACAGCTCTGGCCACATATACCAAGGATGGTGGGTTAGAATCCAGCCCTGGCCAGCTAAAACAACAATGACAACTGCAACAAAAAATACCCAGGCATTGTGGCAGGTGCCTGTAGTCCCAGCTACTTGGGAGGCTGAGGCAAGAGAATTGCTTAAGCCCAAGAGTTGGAGGTTGCTGTGAGCTGTGATGCCACAGCACCCTACTAAGGGTGGCATAGTGAAACTGTCTCAAAAAATAAAAAATAAAATAAATGAGTTTAAAATAAGCTGACTCAAAAACAAGAAGAGAGCCTAAAAAGGTCTGGAAACCCAACTGGATTCTGACCTGCAGCCAAACACAATGAAGTTTACAAAAAAAAAAAAAAACTTTTAGTTTAAAGAGAAAGATACTACTCTTTCATGTGCAACAGAGAGGCAATCTGGTATAGCAGTTAAGAAAATCACAAGCTTTGTAGTAACCCAAACCTAGATTTGAGTACCAATTCTTTACCTTTTTCTTTCTTCTTTTTTTTTTGAGACAGAGTTTCACTCTGTAGCACAGGCTAGAGTGCAGTGGCATCATCGTAGCTTGCCACAGCCTCTACTCCCTAGGCTCAGGTGATCCTCCTGCCTCAGCCTCTTGAGTATACTGGCCTACAGGTGTGCATCATGACACCCAGTTAATACAGCTCTTCATCTTATCAGCCCTGTAACCTTAGGCAAGTTACTTAACCTCTCTAACTTCTCAGTTTATTCATCTGTAAAATGGAAATAATAATTATACCTTACTATTATTCACAGTTTTGTGGTGAGTAAATAAAATGATGCAAGCATTCAATCAGGGTTCTTGAAAATGATGCTGCTTCTGTTGATGAATGAACACTACTGACCCTTACATAGTGAAAATGCCAACTCCCTCTTTCAAAGTTCTAGATCTAAATAAGGAACTAGATGTTCCCTGGGAAGCTCAAACTCCTCATGTTCAAAAGTAAACTACTACCTTCTATCTCAGTGAATACCACCTTTCCTCTCATCAGTCACCAAACTTAAAACTGGAGTCATCTTTCCCTCCTTTCATATCTTCAATCCCATCACTACTAACCAAGTCCAGGTGACTCTTCATCTTGAATATTATAAAATCTGATTCTCCTCTCAGGTCCTTCTGCCTGGCCTTCATTCAAGTCTTTATCAACTGCTCCTGCCTCTACTTTCCTCAATTCTGGTCCTTGAGGACAAGGAGTACTTTTTATTTATCTTTGTTTTCTCAGGGCATGGCCAGACAGCAATCAACACAGAAATATTTGTTTTAAAACCAAAGTAAAGGCTTGGCGCCAGTCACTCAGCAGCTAGGGTACTGGCCACATACACCGGTGCTGGTGGGTTGGAACCCAGCCTGGGCCCACTAAACAGCAATGACAACTACAACAAAAAAATAGCTGGGCATTGTGGCAGGCGCCTGTAGTCCTAGCTACTTGGGAGGCTGAGGCAAGAGAATTGCTTAAGCCCAAGAGTTTGAGGTTGCTGTGAACTATGATGCCATAACACTCTACAGAGAACACAGTGAGACTGTCTCAAAAAAAAGGGGGGGGAGCTAAATTCCCTCCAAGACCAAAGCCTTTCCATGATACCATTTTGCTGTCTATAATGTAAGCATCTGAGGTCTAAGCAGAACTAGTTGTTCTTTGAAAAGCATCTATTATTGGCTTTGGAAGTTTATGTTTTGAGTTAATAAGCAATATTTGTCATATGTAGACATTCTCTATCACCAAGATTTATTCTTTTGGGGAGTTCATACTAACTTGACTACATTTAAAATTCCATAACTTAGGCTCGGCACCTATAGCTCAATCGGCTAAGG